AAGTCAGTGGCTAAGATGTTGAGTTTGGTGATTGGAAAGACGCTCTTTTCTTGGTTAGCCAGGGAGGAGTTTTGGTGGTCTATTTTGTTGTCATTTTTGTTGTCCGAGTTATTTCAAGGGTTGTAATCCGGATATGGTCTTGTGACTCAAACCCTTCTATCCTTTTATTTTGCCTAGTTCCTTTAGTCGTAGCAACTTATTTAGTGTCACCTAGTTTTGTTCAAGGTTGTAACCCCAGTTTAGTTTGCTTGTCTTGTTGTTCGAACCATTTCACCGTCTGTCTAATGCAATTTCCTGTTTTCTGTTATTTCTAGTCATTTTCTTTTGTTTAGTCCTCTTTTCTTTCTACAGTTCTTTTCCTGTTGGCTCTAGTGACATGGCATGCATGCGTAATTCTCAGCCTGGGCTCAAAAGTTAGTTTAGTCATGAAGCATTGAAACAATTTTGAAGATGATAGGGGCACTTGAGGGAAATAAGAACAGATTTGGATACTTTGAGATCATTTGAAGCCCGAACCATGTGAAATTGGGGCAGATAGAGCATAATGAAATACTATTGAAATGCATCATGCCGCATCAGATTGAAGCTAAAGGCAAGTTTTTCGAAATTGGCGCGGGCCGCTCGTAGCAATGAGAGTGAGAGTGTTTTCCAATGGTGCTTTGTATTTAACAGATGTAGAAGGCGAATACGTGGATATGGTTATCAAGTCTGGTACAATCAAAAGATGTTACGTATGTTTTCCTTGGTTTGTTTAATTGTGTTGTTTGTACTTGGCATTTTTTGAAGATTGGAATGACGAAGCCATTTTGTTCTGCTATCTAAACATTTTATCCTTTGTTACCCCTTTTGAGCCTTATTTTTTTTTTCATATCCCTCTTTTGGAATCAGTAGCAAAGTTCAAAAAAGCAAGCACAAAAGATAAGTAAAGGAGGAAGAGAAAAAGAGAAAGAAAAGAGAAAAAGAGAAAGAAAAGAATGAAAAGAGACAGAAAAGAATGAAAAGAGAAAGGAAAAAAAAGAAAAGAGAAGAAAAACAACAAAAAGAAAAAAAAACAAAAAAGAAGGAAATAAGAGAAAAAGAAAAGAAAAGAAAAATCAGAGCAAACAAAGTAATTCCTATGACATGAACTACGTTCGACCTGATTCCTTTTAAGGATACGTAGGCAGCCTCACGGTTTGGTCCTATCAAATAAAAGTCCAAAAGTCCCCAGGCAAAGAAACTAGGGCAGAAGTTGTGGTTGTGTAAGCGATTTGATTCCGAAAGTTGTAATTTTGAACCCATTCGAATTGTTTTGAGCCTTTTGATACCCTTTCTTTCTAACCCCATCCAAAAACCCACATTATGGTTCAAAGAAAGACCTTCCGATCAGTCTTCGAGAAATGCCAAGTCGAGAAAGTAGAGGTGATTCATATCAGGAGCAACACTCCATTCTGAACAAAGAAAAGAACAAAATGAGAGAGTCTTATTGGTGAAAACCTTTACGGGCACCTTAAGGCGACGGTGAGTTGAGAGAGAGAACAAAATGAGAGAGACTTGATGCTGAAAACCCTTCGGGCACTACGAGTCGAATAAGGATTGTGAATCAGATTGGATAAGCGGAGCATTGAAGCCCAGTTTCACGGCAAAAAGGTACAACAAGAGCTGAACATCAGACTTGCTTAACAGAATAAGTACAGAGGCATGTCATGTTCATTAGAGTTGGTACCCACATCTGATAGGTTTCTACTTTGTAGCTTTCTTGTTAGGAATCATCTCTTTCCTTTGTCCTTTACTCTGTCCCTTTTGTCTTGTTTACTTCCTCTTCCTGAGTCGGTTTGGTCAAAACAAGTGAGAAATGATTTCAAAATTTGCCACCAGCTTTCCAATTGCACAAAACGGGATCTGGCTAGCATATCAAAGTGTCATAAGTCTGGAAAGAACAACAAGCGCACTGAGCTGGTAACAATCAACACGCTTTGGGATCCTTGTGAAATACAAAGGTTTGGTACATATCAATTCATGGACAATGTAACAGATAGTGGAAATTGGGTTTGAACGGAGAAGAGGTATTTTTGTGATAAGATTGACAAAGAAAGTGGTTAGCCAATGACAAGCAAGATCTTCCAAGCAGAAATCAAAGTTATCATGGCAAGTGATGGAGCAATAGACCTCAAGGCCAAGGCCAAGGCCAGTGATTTGAGTAAAAAAAGAACAGCATACACATTGAGGGGGGTGGCAATTGACGTGCTTTGGGGTTCATGTGAGATACAAAGTTTGGTAAATGCCAGTTCATGAGCAATACAACAGATAGAGGGTATTGGTCTGAACGGCGAAGAGGTATTTTCTGTGTTAAGAGTAACAAAGAAAGTGGTTAGTCAATGAACAAGCAAGGTCTTCGAGTGGGAATCAGTTATCATGGGAAGTGAAGGAGCAATCGAAAGTCAAGACCACAAACCAACCACCATGTTTTTAAAATTGACAAGTTTTTCTTTGATTTGAAACAGGGGCAGAAAATTTCGATTGTTTCGGAGGGACCCTCAGTAAGGAAAGGCAAGCACCAGACAGGTTTGACCGTAAATTTTCAGGACCCTCCTGGAAAATAGGACCTAGTTTAAGATTCAAAACAATCATGAGTAACAAAATCTAACATAAATGTACCCCAAGGAATATAAGTTGGTTTCAAAGTTTGCATGTTTAAGATAGGATTCAATTAGGAGTTTTCAGGACCCTCCTGGATAATGGGACCTAGCTTTAAGATTTCCATTAGATAACAAGATTTAGCGTAAGTTCTGTTGTAGGATAGTATAATTTAGTCGTAAAAGTTGTCACTCTTAAGATAAGACTTGATTTTTGATTTTCAGGACCCTCCTGGATAATGGGATGTAGTTTTAAGACCTTCTTAGATAACAAGATCTAGCGAAAGTCACACCTTTAGAAGATATAACTTAGATTTATAAGTGTCGTTTAATTAAGAGTTGTCAGGACCCCCCAGGATAATAGGACCTAGCTTTCAAATTCTTAGTAATATTTGGTAAAATGATTCAGTTTAACACTCACCTATGTGCCCAGCTACCAAACTGGGGCAGAAAATTTTCTTTGTTTTGTCAAATTTTTGTTGAAATCAGGTACCCGCATGGAGAACAGGGAGAAGCAATTCAAGTTTCAGCAATCAAGCGCCCACCTGGAGAGCAAGGGAATACAGTTCAAGTTTCAGCAATCAGGCGTCCACCTGGAGAGGAAGGGAATACAGTTCAAGTTTCAGCAATCAGGCGCCCACATGGAGAGCAAGGGAATACAATTCAAGTTTCAGCAATCAGGCGCCCACCTGGAGAGCAAGGGAGTACAGTTCAAGTTTCAGCTTTCAAGTTCTTATTGATATTTGGTAACATGATTCAGTTTACACTACATATGTGCCCAGCTACCAAACTGGGGCAGAAATTTTTCTTTATTTTTGTCTATTTTGTTGAAATTAGGCGCCCACCTGGAGAGCAAGGGAATACAATTCAAGTTTAGCAGTCAGGAGCCCACCTGGAGAGCACGGGAATACATTTCAAGTTCAACAATCAGGCGCCCACCTGGAGAGCACGGGAATACATTCAAGTTCAGCAGTCAGGCGCCCACCTGGAGAGCACGGGAATACATTCAAGTTCAGCAGTTAGGTACCCACTGGGAGAACAGGGAGAAGTAGTTCAAGTTCAGCAGTCAGGCGCCCACCTGGAGAGCACGGGAATACAATTCAAGTTCAGCAGTCAGGCGCCCACCTGGAGAGCACGGGAATACAATTCAAGTTCGGTTGTCAAGCGTCCACCTGGAGAAAGGGAAAGCATCTCAAAGTACAATTCGAGTTCAGCAATTAGGCATTCACCTGGAGGAAAGGGAAAACATCTCAGATTACAATTCAAGTCGACAATAAAGGGATTTCATCGGGAGAATACAAGTCAACGAGGCAACAAGAACCACAAGAGCAAGTTTGAAGATATAGATAGGATTTCTTGTAATTCATAGATCGTAGTTTAGTCTAGCTTCTTTTGTTTTTGACACGGTATAATAAGGGGTTCAGTAAGTAGCAGCAGCAGCAGCAGCAACAGTGAAATCACAGCTTCATGGTAGTCCCAGCTACTAGACATTCCCAAACTACACTGACCTGATTCCTTTATAGCCAAGGATATGTAGGCAACCTCTGAAGCAGGGTGCGGTCAAATCTTTCAAAAATTCTTCCCACGCAGTATTCAAACGGGCAAAAATCGCTCGTAAACGCTCACTTTATCTTTGCACGAAAACTCTTTGTGCTTCCGAGCAAAGAGGGGCAGCTGTGAGCACGTGATTTTTGCCCTATATGAACTACTCCCATAAATTCAAGAAAAATAAATTTTTCCCATTATTTGCAATTTCGTAGATTTTTGTAGCATTTTTTGTTTATTGTTTGCATTTGTCTGTGCATGTTTTATTTTATTTAATTAATGAAAAATACAAAAAAATATGTTGCATTTGCATTTAAGATTTAATTCTGCATTTTAGGAATATTTAGCAAATTAGTTGTTTTATAAAAAAAGGGGGGAAATTACAAAAAATATTTCATTTTGCACATTTTAAATTTAGCTGTTGATTTTGGTAGTTTTCCTTTAAATTTGGTTTTTCTTAATTTATTGTGATAATTATTATCTAGGTTTAATTAGTATTTTGATAGGTTAATGTGATATTAGGATTTTAACTTTGATTCTTTAATTTAATTTCGAAAAGAGAAAGAGAATTAAAATAGAAATAAGAATGGAAAAGAAAAGAAGGGAATTGAAGAAAATACATTGTTGGGCCAAGTCTTTAATTTCACCCAACCCAAATGAAAATCCACACCAAAACCGACCGGATCTGGCCCAGTTCCACCCAAATAACCGGTCCACCTTCCCCCATTTTAAAGTGAAACGCCATCGTTTAGAGTTCCTGATTGGGATTCAATCTAAGCCTCTCATTTACCCACATCCAACGGCCAAGATTGCTTTCCCCGTTATAATTAATATGTCTGAACAGGTTAATCTCAACCTCGTCCAAACAAAGCCCTTCATCTCCCTCTCTCATCTCTTTCATCAAAGAACCTGAAAACCCTAGCGCCGCCTTCAATCTCCTCGCCATTTTCGGCCGGCGGCGGAGCTCCAATCACATCCAAATCAACACCACACAACCTCTAAAGCCCCCCTCATCCCAAATCCCCATTTCATTCCCCTCAAATTTTGGCTGAAGCTTCTCGAAACCTAAATCTAGGGTTCAAGCCCTAGAAGCCAAAGTTAAAATTCGTTCATGCAAGGGTACCTCTCTAGTGTTTATGAGCGTTCAAGGCCGGTTTTATCACGAAACAATGTTATTCGCCTGTTCTTGACAATGAACAGATGATTAATATTGTTTTGCGGTCTAAATCGGAAGGGCAGTCGGGGTCGAGCCTGAGTCAGTGAGTGTCTTCATTTCTTTCTGTTTATTATTCTATTTTCTCGGCTTCTTCTCCGCTCCTCCTCTTCTCACTCTTTCTGGTTACATAAACTAAAATCTGGACAAATTTTTTAGCTAGGATTGATTATTGTCTGTTTTGTTCCTTTTAATCTTTCTTTTTAAAGTTTTGTTCTACGAGTTTTCTTGCCCGGTCTGCTTAATTCGTTTGTTAACAGCTTAGTTAATTTCTGAGTTCACTTTGTTTGTTTGGCTATTTAGTTTAAATTTAGCCCTTTAGTTTAGATTGTAAGTTTGGGGTTGTTTGGGCTCTGAATTCGTTTCAAAGAAACCAAATCGATTTTTCGAGCCCAGGCCTGGTTTAACCTTTGGGTCGTCTAACCCATGACCCATTTGGTTTCCTGCAGTAAAAACAGGGTTATTAAGGGGCAAGTTGGGTAGTCTAGCTTAGGGAATCTGGGGTAACAACCTTAGGAAACTTCCAGGAAAGGGGGTTTGGGACTATTTCGAATTTCTGAAAATTGCCTAAGGTTTTCTAAGCTAAAATCAGAATTTAAAGGGGGTCTAAGTGCAAATATGTTTCTCATTAAGTTGCTGTAAATGCCTTGCCTATAAAGGCATCTTAACTTGACATTCAAGGCAGAGAAAAATTGGATAAAAATCTGAAAAACTGAAATGGCTGAAGTTTTTTTCTTCAAAAATGCTAAGTAAATTGGGGACTTCTGATCTTTTCATTAGTTAGAATTCCTAAAAAAATCTGAAAATCACAAATTCTCCTTCTGGGTTGAAATGGATTGAACTCTGGTTTGTTTTGAAAATTCTGGGTTTGGATTTTGCTTGAAACACTGTTACATTGGCTGATTTTCTGGGATTGAAAAAGGGTCTAATATTTTGCTGGTTTTTGGACTCCAAGCATGGACTGAAATTGTCATTCTGCTGTTAAGTACTGCTGCTAAATTGCCGCCGATCCCTCACTCTTCTTATTCTCTTTGCTTTTTCAGGTATCTTTTAGAAGCACAAACGACATGTAAAGATGTGAATCTGCACTTCGAATATGAAATACTTTGGATACAAATTGCACTTCAAGTTTATTTCTTCTGTTTCTTCTATTTTGTATTGTGATGCCTGTAAACCTTATATTATGCATGCTAGTCTCATTAGTCTGATTCTGGAAGGGCATGAGCATGAGGTCTGGATTCAAACGAGCTGAAGTCTTTGAACATATGCGTGTCATGAAAGTCTTGTAATAGAAGCTAAAGTTTAAGTGTGTGATTCACGCTGATTCGTTCAAGCGTTAATAGTTAGCTACTGTTTATTGTGATTGTTGGGGTGGGGTACTGTTAAGCATTGTAGGTGCAAAATCATGAGGAACTACTGTTGAAGCATGTTGATTGATTGCTGAATGTATTAGCAGCCTGCATCCCTTTATACTTTATAGATTGTGCAAATGACAGTGTTGTTTCTTTCCTTCTGCATAAGTGCTTTTTAAAATCATGTTTCAGATTAGTTACTTAACTAGTATAAGCTGGGTCGTTCTGGTTATGCATTCCTNACAGTTTTAAGCTGGGCGTTCTGGTATGCATTCCTGTAAGATCCTGTTGGTGTGAGGCTTGGATGCTTTAATTGAATGTTTCAAAGCAGTGGTGCATTGTCATTTAAATCGTCGTTTAAGTTCTCCCCCCCTGTTCATGTGATGGTTTCTTTCTCCATAAAGGAATTTCAAATGAGAGTCGAGTCTGACTTGGGTTCTGAGAATGCCTCAAAATTAATATAGTTCTTTACATGTTTTCTTTTAATAAGTTTGAATCATATGGTTGTCTAAGTATGTTAGCGAGAGATCAAAATTTAGCATATGAGTAAAGTCTATTTGAAAATGTCAAATTGCTCTCTTTTGTGGGAAATTCAAATGGATGGTTTAAAGTGATGAGATAGTCTGCAAGTTGTTAATAACTAGTTGTCCGAGTTTGAATTCTCATGACAATGTGGTTTTCCTGCAACGAACAATGCTTAAAGCACTGAATTGGGCTTAGCATGGGCCCAGTGGTGCCGAGTTTCCTTTGCTGGGAATATTTCGGTTTGGGCTTCACGTTTGAGCCCATTTGTGCCCTCTTGCCTATTGACTAAATGGCTAGTTGAACGATGGGTCCATAACTTATCTGGTTTTTTTTAATATGTTCAGTTTGGTGTCGTGTTCTGTTAGCATATGATTTTTAACAAAATTTTCACATTAGTGTTTAGAAATTCTTCATGTAGTTTAATTTAGTTAGTTCCCTTTAAATAATAGAATCGAGGCGCGCCGTGCCAAACAAAATCTTAAAATGCACGGCCCTCACTTAGTTAATATTTGAATCCTTAGAATCGAGGCGTGCCATTTAGCGAATTTTCATGGCCCTCGCAATGTTGCAAACGCGTAGTTGCTTTAGGCGCGTCATTTTAATAATATACCTTCCTAAACTTGGGTGGGCATTTATGTGACCCAAATCCAAATCTCAACAATGTTATATAGAATGTGTTGCGGACCGCGGGTGCATTTATGTGACGTGGTTCAAGACATATTTTAAATGACGTTGCAAATCTTTCTTTAAAAATAATTAAAAGCGGTTAAGGTTAAAAATGCACATAGGTCTAAAACATGTACTAAAATCAGATAATAGGCCAATTATAATAGTTGAGCGACCGTGCTAGAACCACGGAATCCGGGAATGCCTAACACCTTCTCCCGGGTTAACAGAATTCCTTACCCGGATTTCTGGTTCGCAGACTGTAATACAGAGTCAATCTTTCCTCGATTCGGATTTGAACCGGTGACTTGGGACACCATAAATCTCCCAAGTGGCGACTCTGAATCTTTTAATAAACAAATAAATCCCGTTTCGATTCTCCTTTAATTGGAAAAACTCCCTTATACTCCCTTCGAGGGGTGTAGGTAAAACGGAGGTGTGACAGGGGTAACTATGCATGCAAAGGGTAGAAATCATGCCTATAAGACTGTTCTAATTCTGCATATTCAACTATATATAGAAATCATGCCTATAGGATTGTTACAATTTTACATATTCAACTCCGCCTAGCAATAATGCCTATAGGATTGTTCCAATGCCATTCTGCATAATTCAAACTGCATTTAGAATCCATGTCTATAAGGTTCAATTTCTGCATTTAGATGCCACATTTATATGTTTTAAAACAAGTTCTGCATCTAGAAACCATGTCTATAAGGTTCAATTTCTGCATTTAGATACCATGTTTTAAAACAAGTTCTGCATCTAGAAACCACGTCTATAAGTGTATAAAATCAGCAACGTGTAGAAAACATGCCTATAGGAATTTCTAAATGAATCTGATTTGCTTCACCCATTGCTAGACGTAAAATCAGTAATAATACATACCACCACCTACAAAGCCTGTAATCAATTTGTTAATTCCGCATCTCTTTTGGATAATCTAAGTCCCCCAATGTTAACAAGCATGCACTTTTATGATTTCAAATAATTCATTTTTTTAGCTTTACTGTCTTACCACCTTCTGAGTTCAATAGATACTATGCCTATAGGATCCCGTCTGAGCACTTAGGCAAACCTTAGAGTAATAATAAAACTGAATCCACTTCTATTAATTATTACAACCAGCAGGCAGTTCTGATTCGGGCTTCTTATCTGAATTATGTAATAAACCAATCTGCCCTAATCCTTTAGACTCCTTCATATTTAATTCTAATTAGACCTAAGCAGTACGTGCAAGACATGCTATTATGTGTTTTTTTTCTTTTCTATGCAAGGAGGTATAATTGAGCCTTATATGTTTATATGTCTCCCCAAATATGCAGTATGTGTTTTGTATGTCGCCTTAGACTTTTACCTTTGAAACTCCAAATAAGCCTAATATCCTTCCCTTTTTAGGATTAGTAGTCCTAAGTGCCTCCGAGACTGATAGGATTGGGACGGGTAATAGCATGCATTAAGTAATCGATACCAATCCGCGCTTTAAATACCTTAACGGGGTGGGATGGGTAGATATGGATATGATGACCACGCGATAATATCACGTGTAGCCCCGAATTTAGGAGTGATTACCGGACATTGTGTGGGGTGGTCCATATTATTAATAAACCTAGGACCCCTCTCCCTTCATTCTTTATTTCTTTTCCTTAGCATTTTAACTCTTTATTTTTAAAATCAGCTCTTCTGATTGCTCTTGCAAACCTTCTTTACTTTCAAACCATTATGTGCTGAAATCCCCTCTTATTTGAGCCTTATTTGTTTATATGCTAATTGTACCCAAATTCACAATAATTGTCTGGCTGGGAACCATACTAGTGGATTCTGAGGGGTGCCTAACACCTTCTCCTTAGAATAATTTCAAGCCCTTTCCCTATCTCTGGTTATTCAAATCGAATTCTTTTGGTGTCCTAATGCACTCTAATCATTAGGTGGCGACTCTTCAAACCCAGTTCCCAAAAGGAATGAGTTGTCCTTCCAAATGTCATAAACCAGATTTCGCGAGAAAAAGGGGGCGCGAAAGGACTCCAGGGTCTGCGAACGCCAACAGATCTACCTTGGGTTCTCCTGATGGACTAAAGGCAAACCCAACTCTAATCACGAGGTCCGACACCGAAATCTGCACAGAAAGTGCAGAGTGCAGTATCAGTACAACCGACCCCATGTACTGGTAAGTGCCGAGCCTAACCTCGGCGAAGTAGTGACGAGGCTAGGACATGACAAATAACATGAACCTGTGCAGATAAATCATATACGAAGAAATAACAATAACGGAAATTTAACAGATAATAACGGGATGGGGGAACATGCTGAGGGGAATACCAAATTCTGAAAATAATACAATACCAAAACTCCGTAATTTTCATGCTTGAACCAACGGAAATAATAACATAACAAACATGTGCACGACATCACCCTTCGTTCTTTTACTCTCGTCCTCACCATAAGAAACAACAGAAACGACACGGCATCACCCTTCGTGCATTAACTCTCTCATAACATGGCCCGGCATCACCCTTCATGCATTATCAATATCAGAATACGGCACGGCATCACCCTTCGTGCTTTATCACTCACTCAAAAAACATTGCACGGATCACCCTTCATGCTTTACACTCTTCCTCACCCAAATAACAGAAACAATAATAACCCGGCAAGGGAATCATAAATAAACAACCTTGTTTCATCATTTAACTTCACAACATAAATCTCAACTTGAGCCAATACTCAAGTACTATCCAAAATAGGGAAAAACATCATAAAACTTGCTTAACATTTAGATTTAACCAGTTAAAGCATGAATAGTCTGTATAAAGGAATACAACAGTGACAAATATAAGACTCGCTCGCATGCTATGACCCAACAACAATGTATAGATACTCGTCACCTCACCTATACGTCGTACTCAATCAACTAAACACATAGAAAATAAGGCAACAACACCTAATCCCTCAAGCTAAGGTTAGCCACAACACTTACCCCGATTCCACGGCCAAACTCAAGCCTCAAATACCGTTTTTCCCTTAGTTTCCACTTCCAATCCGCTCGTACCTAATCATAATTAACTTAATAACATTAATTAACGCTAAAGAAACCAATTCCAATGCATAATTATAGATTTCCCAACATTTTCCTCAAAAAGTAAAAAATCGACCCCGGGCGCGCCTGGTCAAAATCCGAAATTCGGACCAAAACCCGATTACACCATTCACCCCCGAGCTCGGATATACAGTTGGTTTTGGAATCCGACCTCAATTTGAGGTCTAAATCCCCAAATTTCAAAATTCCTAAGTTCTACCCAAAAACACCCAATTCCACCATGAAAAACCTGAGATTCTAGGATAAAATCTTGTAAAAAGATGAAATAGATTCAAAGAAATAAGTTAAGAATCATTTACCTATGATTTGGGGATGAACTTGCCCTAGGAAAATTGCCTCTTGAAGCTTAGGTTTTGCAAAATGTGAAGAATGGGAGAAAATCCCGTCTAACTTATGTTTTGAACAGATGCAGATGTCACATTTGCGACCTGAGCTTCGCAATTGTGAAGCTCGCAAATGCGAATTCTTCGCATCTCTGCTGCCTTTGTAAATGCGAAGGTAATGATCGCAATTGCGAATAGGGACCTCTGCAAATGCGACAAAGAGATCGCAATTGTGATCACTGCTCCTCACCCCTTGCTTTGCAATTGCGAGGAAATCTTCGCAAATGCGATCATTGCTGGCACAGGCCTTCTTCGCAATTGCGATAAATATACCATGCCTGTTTTGCTCGCAATTGCGAAGCCTGATCTCACAATTGCGAGATTAGAGGCCCGCAACACAGCTGAAGCATACCAGCTATTTTTTTAAGTTCTAATTCACTCTGTACCCTATCCAAAACTCACCCGAGCCGTCGGGGCTCCATACCAAACATGCAAACAAGTCTTAAAACATCATACAAACTTGCTCATGCGATCAAATCGCCAAAATAAC